CAATAGATATTTGATGAAAGGTGAGGATCCTCCGTTTTGTGTCCCTTGCGATGAGGGAATGTTGATTTTTCTCTCAGAAGGGATAATAACTATAACTCAACGTCTTTAAATGATCTTTTTAAAAATATCAATGCTCGTTTCATTCTCGACTTTTTAAAAGAAATAGAATGGTTTGATACATTTTGAATGCTTGAATTGTGTTTGAAAATTAGTGGGATGGTATCACCAACTGAGATTATTGAAGGCGTTGGGTTAAAGTAGTGTAAAATTATTGTCCCACTGACAGTGGCGATTGTGTCTATCTTAGTTGCAGTATATAACATTGCCTGCTGTTTTTATTCCTTGATTCTGTTTTTGAAAAATATCGGTTAGCATTCCATATAATCACTGGTGTTTAAAGTAATGGCATAAACCCTGCTTGGGTATCATGCAGGAAGCAGAAGTCCCGTTGATCCTCAGTAAGGTGGTCCTCAGTAAGTCTATAGCCTTGTTTTAATATATTTAACCCGTCTATTGAACAATTATTTGTTTTAATTTTGACCTGGTTTTTCTTATACCTAATCTATGATATTAGCCCTACTGTTTCACTGTCCTTTGTCGACAGGTATACAAATATTACTAACTTAACGTAACAGTTCCTTATATTACCGTATATATCTTTTGAACTTAGGAGGCACATATCAACATAATAGTTATCCTGGAAAAATACACCCTATGGATTAAACATCCTGCTTGTTGATTGGACACAATCGAAAAAGGCTTTTTATGTCGGTCTTTGCTTAACAATACGCTTTTGACCAATTGCTGGACCACCAATTGTATCAGAGACTGAGGCACACTTATCATTAACATAATCATTGACTGGTGTACACTCTCGGTATAACAAATGGTGAATAAACCGATTTTCTCCTGGTTCTTTCTTTGGAATAAGGACGGCAGCTGCTGACGCCCTAGAGTTTGGGATTGGTGGGCAACTAAATGGCCCTGCCATCCCTCCTGATGTAATTTATTTCTGTAATCTTGGCTTGACTACTTCTGGTAGCTCTAAACATGATTTCAAGTTGTAGGAATAGCATGATTCCCATTGACCTCTATAAGTAATTTACACTTAAACCAAACCAAGACCCCCCGCCATAGGTATTCAGACGTATCTCGGTCTGGGTAATCTGTTAACAAGGCCGCCAAAAAGTCTAGATTGACTGGAGATTCATGATCATGCAAAATTAGGTTGCTTTCCCGTTTGTTGGGTTTACATTTGCTTAATTTAACCTATTCTTTTAAAGGCGGGAAGGGTGAGGCTTACTGCAACTGGTACAAACATGTGCACATCTGCAAACACTACGGATCAATTTCGTCAGATTGAAGTCATGGCATGGAAGCTGGCATGTAGGGCTTAACATATTGCCTTGGCCTTGCTTGTAGTGTGGATTGATACTACCACTTGATGACGAGTTGCAAGCATAAGCCAGAGTTCATGATTGATGACAGGTCATGGTTCGTGCTGGTTGTTTGGGGGGCGAAGTCGAAACTCCCGATCACAGGAACACCAACTATATGCCATCATCCTGTTAGCTGTCATGCGTACAATAATAATGTATTTTAGCATTTGCTGGGTGTTGCCCCTAAATTTCGATTGTGTTGATTATTGGATAATTGCGCCCTATGACCTCAATACCCCATGCAATTGTGCATTGAACCTCAAGAGTCTTCACCGTCAAGCATATATTGCTTGACTGTGTGGACTTTGCAATCGCAAGGGATTCACATTATCAAAGTGTAAATCTACAAGATCTCTTTTCCCGTGTCAGCGGGCATCTCATCATAAATTACTTGAAAGAAATTGGTCTGTATAATAAATTTTAAATATGTATGTGAATAATTAAATGCTTGTTTTTAACTTTGGTGTGATGCTACTGTAAACAGACATTATTAAAGGCTCTGTCCAGGAGGTTAAAGTACCGTAAAAATATTGCCCCCTGCGTGACACGTAATCCTATCATAATCAATGTAACTATCATCAACCAGTGTTAAAGTGTTTAAGCCAACTCATTGATGAGTATTTTTTTAATATTGGCTAGTATTGTGCACAACCACCAGTGGCTAACGTGATCATGCAGGAAGCAGAGGTACTGTAAGTCCCCATGATCCCCAGTGAGGTGGCCTAGCTTTGGTTACTGGTGGCCTATAGCCCGTGTTTTAAAACTGTATATATAATATTGTTATGCTCAAATATGTTTCATGAATTGTTTCTAAATATAGTATGGTTAACAACTTGTTTTTAAACAAAACTTTGCATTAATGACAACATTGTAAATATATTAACTTGGTCTCGTCGCTATATGGCTGAAATAATGCCGAGGCGACGTTAAATTTTAACTCACTCACTCACTCAAGAGTCTAACTGGTTACTTGCCTTGTCTCCTGTCTGAGCCCTTTTAGTTAAGATCCCTAAAACGACATACTCATTTTATATATTTTTTCCTTGATATTTTGAACTACGAGTACATTGGACACTAAGCCCTAAGTTATCTTAAGAGAGTCCGATAGGCTTAGTAGCAAAAAACATCTTGAAATCATGCACACCAATCCCCTGTGACTGACATGTCAGTTGCCATAGCAACCGCATTCCTGTCACGGCTACCAACTGCCGTTGTAAAACTGTATTTCTAGACCTTCATTTGTAAAAATTATATATATATATATTCTGAACATCACCCAACCTGTAAAAAAGCGTGCATGTCATTGTGTTGTTCACGGTGCCTATTCAATTCCAGCAGATTGTGTATGGATAATAATTCATTACCCTGAGTTTACTTAGAAAGTGATTGATGTGGTTGCTGTACACAAACGAGCCAATGCTGGTTATGTAACGCAGTTATGTATCGAACCATTTTTGTCAATACAGTAATCTTCCATTTAACTATGAAAAAACATTTAGGAGCGTCTTTACAATCTTTTCACAACATAGAAACGATGACGATATTCACAAACTGCTATCACTGTTCACAGTGACTTGAATGCTGTGTCAATTCATGACCTGCGTAATAATAGTAAAATGGCTGCCAAATGTCACGTACATTTCAAACGCTGGTCATATGGATGTCGGATGACTCTTGATTTCTATGCAAAAAATTGGGAAACAGTGTCCCTTCATATGGGGATGGCGGTTAGAAACTAATTCAAAACATACACTTCCTCTTTGCCATTCTCATATTATTTGTTAGCAGCGTTGTGGTCACCTCATCCACCCGATTTCCGACATTTGGAACAGATTCCGCCTTACAGTGTTCACCCTATTGATCACTGCTACATCTAATATTGTTAGCAGCGTTGTGGCCATGGTCACCCATCTATGAAAGCCTATTAGGGCCAAATTCATTGATAACATTTTTTATTTAAAAGTTGTAATTACAAGTTGTAAAGGTGTAATTACAAGTTGTAAAGGTGTATTTACAAGTTTCTCAAGGTGTAATTACAAGTTGTAAAGGTGTAATTACAAGTTGTAAAGGTGTATTTACAAGTTTCTAAAGGTGTAATTACAGAACATCAAATGTTGCGATCATTCAGTGAAATTTCACATTTCTAACTCATAATTACACCATTTCAAACCTGTAATTACACCTTTCAAAACTTGTTATTTCCATTTCTAAACTTGTAATTACGCCTTTAAATCTAGTTATTACACCTTTAAACACTTGTATTTTCATCTTTTAAACTTGAAATTACACCTTAAAAACATGTAACTACAACTTTTTATGAGTCGTAATTACACCTTTATAACTTGTAATTACACCTTTATAACTTGTAAATACACCTTGACAACTTGTAATTACAACTTTACAACTTGTAATTACAACTTTTAAATAAAAAAATGTTTTCAATGAATTTGGCCCTAAAAGGCTTTCGTACCCATCCACCCGATTTCCGACATTTCGAACAGATTCCGCCTTACAGTTTTCACCCTATTGATCACTGATACATCTAGTACACACAGTTGTACATCTTCCCGAGGCAAAGTAGTTCATCACTGACTATAAAAGTCCAGTTTCCACCCTATTGATCACTGATACATCTAGTACACACAGTTGTACATCTTCCCGAGGCAAAGGAGTTAACTGACTATAAAAGTCCAGTTTCCACCCTATTGATCACTGCTATATCTAGTACACACAGTTGTACATCTTCCCGAGGCAAAGGAGTTCACTGACTATAAAAGTCCAGTTTCCACCCTATTGATCACTGCTATATCTAGTACACACAGTTGTACATCTTCCCGAGGCAAAGGAGTTCACTGACTATAAAAGTCCAGTTTTCACCCTATTGATCACTGATACATCTAGTACACACAGTTGTACATCTTCCCGAGGCAAAGGAGTTCACTGACTATAAAAGTCCAGTTTCCACCCTTGCCGAACTAGGCTGGTATTATGGAGTTACGTTTGCGCGCACCGAAATCGAAATCCGGTTCGTAAACTGTCGTGCACATTTCGATCCATTGCAGGATTGGCAAAGAATGTGCATTGCCAATTCGTTGTCAGCAGATATTTTCCAAATCCGTTCATGTTTTTAATCAAGGTGCTCACGTTATTTGATGCAAGACGCGATGTAAGACCCGTTTTATCGCAATATAGATCTTGATTATCGATCAGATCGTCCTGACTTGGCGCCACCGTTTTGTGTGAAACAAACGCAAGTGATACGAGAGGTGGAATCTGATTGGTCCATAGGAGAGCCTTAGAAGGGACATAATTGGTAAAAGCCACTTGGGCGCAACGGTCGAGCCCAGTAATTCAAGCCTAGTTCGGCAAGGGTGGAAACTGGACTTTTAAAGTCAGTTAACTCTCTTGCCTCGGGAAGATGACAGTTGTAGCACCGAATTGCTGCTAAAACAAGAAGACATACCCTCAATGACTGGCAGTGCATCTTGATAAATTTCCATCCGTGTCGTCATTTATATTTGAAGCACACTAATCACCCTATCACTGTATTGTTTTACATAGTCACTCGCTGGGGCCTGTTCGGAGACGCCTTGTCCACTGTCCAGATGTCATGTAGATCGACTCGGCCATGCATCATGCGAGACAGGTAAGCTATTGATTGTAAGAGAAAGGTAGTTCTAATCTACACTTTCATTTATTGAAATCATTTGGCTTGGACTGAAATGATATTTTGTTTGTTTGATTGTTTGTTGTTTAACACTGCACTCAGCAATATTCTAGGTATAGGACGGCGATCTGTTAAATAATCGAGTCTGGACCAGACAACCCAGTGATTGACATCATGAGCATCGATCCACGCAATTGGGATCGATGACATGTATAAACAAAGTCAGCGAGCCTGACCACCCGATCCCGTTAGTCGCCTTTTACGACAAGCATAGTCGCCTTTTACGGCAAGTATGGGTTGCTGAAGACCTATTCTACCCCGGATTCTTCACAGGCACGATATAGCACAATGAGAATGTACATGTACTTGTCACGAGTTAACTTATTCTATGACAGAGTGTCTGGACGATGGTTCGGTTCCCTGCTGCGTCATACAAAAGGACGTTAAAGGACATAATTGGTGTTGCACTGCCTGGTACTAGGGGGATAAAGGAAGGACTGGTCTGAGTGGATTATCCATGTTAAACAGTGACATGGTGGGCTAGAATTATAAAAAGGCATCAGTCATGACGAGTACAACCAGCCACACAGAGACACATACGCGCGCGAGCACACACACACACACACACACACACACACACACACACACACAATTATTGCAATAATCTTGAACACGTTGTTGAACCCCATTTCAACTCAAGTTACCACCTCCTTGTGGTGTATTGAGCTTGTTGAAAGCGCAATCACGAAGGAGCAATCACTGAGAACAGAAGGCGGATTTCTCTACTGACTGTGATCTCTGATATATATCAATAATTCAACCTGCACATTTCTCTCTTGTTATCGGCGCGGTTCAAATCCAACATCACGAGAATGACAGATTTGTTAAGTTATCAATTTGTACTTTTAGCAAGGTTATAAATCAACATGTCATGCTATATGCTACAGAGTTTCAAGGCTGTGATGCACCACCTACTGTTGCCAATGCTGAGATGCATTATGACGGAGTGTACGAAGGAGCAGTTGCAGTATACACTTGCAAGGACGACTTCAAGATGTGCACACCTAGCAATAGCAGAGTTTGCCAGTTCGCAGGAAATTGGAACGGTTCTGTTGGCCCGTGCTCACAGTACAGCTGGGACAACCCGGTAAGATGGTTTTATGTGGTACAGTATGAACGTTGAGTATGAAGCCATATTTAATTATTGTGACAAGACTGATAACTACGAGGGGCGTTCAATAAGTTTTGCAACTTCAATATAAGACCAAGTCGCAGAATATCTTTTGCACTTGTATTTTTCAATATAATCTTCATTCACCTCAAAAAACTTATTCCATTTGTCCTTCAAGCTTTTAATACCACTTTTATAGGAAATAGTCACTTGGGGCTAAGTCTGGGCTGTTCAGTTAAATCACCCACCCTACAGCTCAGACTTAGCCCCCAGTGATTATTTCCTTTCCCGCAAATGAAATCTGCCCAACGTGGAAGACGCTTCCAGGATGACGAGGACATAAAGGCTGCCACAGAGGCGTGGTTTAAGGGCCAATGTGCGGATTTCTACAAAAGTGGTATTTAAAGATTGAAGGACAAATATGTCCTAAGAATAAGTGTATCGAGGTGAATTGAGATTATATTGAAAAATAAAAGTGCAAAAGATATTCTGCGACTGAAGTTGCAAAACTTATTGAACGCCCCTCGTATGTGAGATGGACTCATTTTCCTGGACAAAATACACTTACGATCAGCAATGAAGGAACCAGCAAGATTGGAGCGTGTTAGAGAGAGGGAAGGAGTAAATATGGAAATTAATTTGTGCTGAGAATTCTAGTCGACATCCATCGCATTAAAGCTGGTGATAGAAACAACAAAGGCATATACACCAAAACATACATATAAGAAGCTGCATTTATTTGCGTTGGCAATACAAATATGTACACAGCCGTTAGACAAACAGCATCTAAGAGCATGAAATTATTCAGATGCTGCCGCGACAGAGATATATGTTATTGTACAATTAATGTCCTTTCCATATAAGTTATTTTTCAAAATCAGCAAATAAAGGTTGATTGTTCGATGATATAAGTTGGCAAGAATGCTTTAAAAACATCCCGAAAGAAGTTAAGTAAAGGTTTACATTTGAGTTGTCGATACCAATATCTGTACTAGTGCTTAATAAACACCAGCTGGAACCTAAACAAATGCTTTGTCTTGCCTATTATCATGTGTTATTGTATGATTTATCTTTTTTCTTTTCTTTTTGACTTCTTATACAACTTTAATAATGCCGAAAACGTGGGACTACACCCAAGGACACGTTATGTGTTTTCCAATTGAACGTAAAAAGTTGACAAAGGAATATAGAAATTTTCGAACTTGTGGATGAAACATATTTGATACCATTTTTTTATTACAGGTGATTGACTTCGAGCTGGAATTGCCTTGTGGGCATTCAAGGAGCTTCAAAGTAGCCCTGAACGTCACGCCAACGGCCGTTAAAAAGTAAAAGATAGATATTCACATTAATGATAATAGTAATCAAAAGAATAAACGTGGGCACTGGGAGAATGTATTAAGTGTGTATTCCAGGTACGAGTTGGTCCCCAACAACATTTGATTGCATTTCCCCGGTTCGAGTGGGAAGACTCGGGGATTTGAATGATAGTTTTTAGCCGTAGCCATCGACGGCGAGAATCGTTGCTAATAATATCAATCACTGAATTGTCTGCTCCAGACTCGATTAACAGGCTGCAGTCATACTGCTTGAATATGAAGGTTGGTTGGTTGGTTGGTTCGTTGTTAAACGCCGCACTCAGCAATATTCCAGCTATATGACGGCGGTCTGTAAATGATTGAGTCTCGACCAGACAATCCAGTGATTAACATCATGCGCATCGATCCATGCAATTGGGATCGATGACATGCATGAACCAAGTCAGCGAGCCCGACCATCCCATCCCGTTAGTCGCCACTTATGACAAGCATGGGTTGCTGAAGACCTATTATTCTACGGTCATAAAAAAATATGGTACCTAATCTACACTCCTACGTATATTTCAGGATCTTAAATTTCAAAACATGGTAGTCTAGCTTATCTCCTGAATAATGGATTAAAGGCTGTGATCTGAAGTGGCTATCACATATTGGGTCGATAGTTTTACATTAGGTTGGTTGGTTTGTTGTTTAACGCCGCACTCAGCAATATTTCAACTATATGACGGCGGTCTGTAAATAATCGAGTCTGGACCAGACAATCCAGTGATTAATATCATGAGCATCGATCCACGCAATTGGGATCGATGACATGCATCAACCAAGTCAGCGAGCCTGACCACCCGATCCCGTTAGTCGCCACTTACGACAAGCATAGTCGCCTTTTACAGCAAGCATTGGTATTTGAAGACCTATCCTACCCCGGATCTTCACGGGTCATATAAATAAAAGGTAGATCTACCTAATCTACACTCCTACGTATATTTCAGGATCTTTAATGGTAGGCTTAACATGGTAGGCTTATCTGAAAACATGGTAGGCTTATCTCCTGAATAATGGATTACAGTCAGTGATCTGAAGTGCGTATCAAATATTGGGACGCTAGTTGTATATATTACATTACATTATCTCAAACAATACAATTGAAACAAATCATTATGGATCTGCGAATATCTGAGTTAGAATAGGTCTTCAGTATTTTTTGGTTTGTTGTTTAACGCCGCACTCAGCAATATTCCAGCTATATGACGGCGGTCTGTAAATAATCGAGCCTGGACCAGACAATCCAGTGATTAATATCATGAGCATCGATCCACGCAATTGGGATCGATGACATGCATCAACCAAGTCAGCGAGCCTGACCACCCGATCCCGTTAGTCGCCTTTTACGACAAGCGTAGTCACCTTTTACGGCAAGCATGGGTTGCTGAAGACCTATTCTACCCCGGAATCTTCACAGTAACCTATGTTTGTTGTAAGAGTCGACTAACGGGATCGGATGGTCAGGCTTGCTGACTTGGTTGATGCATGTCATCATATCCCAATTGCGCGGATCGATTCTCATGATATTATTCACTGGATTGTCTGGTCCAGACTCGATTATTTACAGACCGCCGTCATATAGTTGGAATATTGCTGAGTGCGGCGTTAAGCAACAAACCAAACCAAACCATCATGTAGCTGCAATATCGCTGAGTGCGGTGTTAAACTACAAACAAGCAAAACACTATGGCCGCTAGGATTTGCTGTCGTAACCCATGACCCGCCTATCGTTTAACATGGACAGTTGTTCCATATGTCCCTACTGGGTGTGACAGATTCCTAATCGAACATGCCGCCTCCGTGGTCTTGTGGTAGAGCGTCCGCCCGGAGAGCGGAAGGTCCGGGGATTCGATCCCCGGCCGCGTCATACCAAAAGACGTTAAAAGATGGTACTTGTTGTCACCCTGTCTGGCGCTCGACATTAAGGGGCTAAAACAAGGACTGGTCGGCTTGGAGTCAGTATACTGTGTCTGAGTGGGGTATTCATGTTAAACTGCGGCGGCATGGTATCTCAGTGAGCTAGCACTATAAATCGGCATCAGTCCGGACTAGTACAAGCAGCCACAGACACACACGTGCATGCACGTCGCTATATAAGTGCAATAATCTTGGACGCGACGTTAAACCCAATTTCACCTCACCTCACCTCACCTTATCGAACAGAAACAAAAATGGTATGACCACCATCTTGTTTTCAAAATTTCCATGTTTTGTTTTTCTGGACTCATCATTCATATTAACAAAGTTTTCCTGTTTTTAAGAGTACATATGGATTTTTTCGGAGGGGGAAATATTCTGTGTCATATTGACTTCCGACTGGATTACGACACGCTAGTATTCAGCTCACGCTTCGCCGGTGTTTGGGGAGAAGGGGTTACACTAACGCCGGTCCCAATGGAAATGGGTATCGAGTCTCTGGTTGAGATACGACTGGACAAAGGCGTGTACATGGTATGTTGTTGTTCTATTTCTACTGCTCTATTCAGAAGATACGATACTACTAGCCGGAAGTAACGAAAACTTTCAAAACTTGCTTGATATATTCTCACAATATTGATCAATGGAAACTCAAAATTAATTTCTAAAAAAACCAAAAAAAGTTGTCACATTTGGATGTCCCCCCAAAAATTATAATTAACCACATTCAATCAAAATCTGTTGAAAATGTTGACGAGTATAAATATTTGGGACATCTGGGATTTAACCTGTTAGAAAATGTTGACGAGTATAAATATTTGCGATATCTAGGATTTACTTGATGGGTGGGGGATCTGTCTGATCATGATCAACAGTTAAATAAGAGAAATATCCACTCTGTTCCATACAAAACGTCCAAAACGTTGTTTTTATCTTAAATTTTGAAAGACAGTGTCAAGTTCCTTTTATGAAGAGTATATTTAAGTTATGTCATGGCATATCGCATTATAATATTATATTATTTTAGACAGATAATGCAAACAAAAATTGCTACCATTTTGGAAAAATGAATTACTTGAGAATTTTATAATATACTTTAAGCTTTACGAATAAGATTTTATTCGTAAAATTTACATTTCTGTCCATGATTTTGAATGGTTATCCATTTAGTCCCTTCAAACAGGAGGGCTGAACTATTCATTGTAACATCAATATGAAACTTGTTCATCCTACACCCTCGATTACCCATTGTATTATATTTCCATTCTATTATGAATACCTTTGTCGCTATGGTAGCCTTGTTTCGTACCTGACGTCACTATATCCATGTCTCCTGTCAGTAACTTTGCACAGAATGTCCTTCGATAATGATCAAAATGTGATTAGGCAGTTATTGTTAGCGGCTCCTAAAGAAGCTGTGGTAGGGATGTGTCCAGGGAAAAAGAAGGAACTATATTATAATCGAGGATGTTCCATTTGATTCCTTGCAGCTAGCTGTCGATGGATCAAGCATACACAACTTCACAGACAGATACCCGGATGAGATTCTAGAACACCTCAAAATCAGCGGTGACGGCCACGTCACAGCCGCGCTCATCACCATGTGACGTTGTTGTCTGTATCAATTGACTCTCTGTATCAATCTCTGCAAAGTGAAAACATCTCACAGCAGGGGTAAAAAATTGTTTGGTGTCTCATATTAAACACAACGTGTTAGGTGCAATTGAGCATGTTTTTTCTGTGAAGATTTCAAGAGCATGGTAAATCGTTCAAAGTGTTTTATAGTTGTCGTGTGAGTTGGGTTTAACGCCGCTTTTAACAGTATTCCAGTTATATCGCGGCGTGTCAGCTTAATGTGGGAGGAAAGCCAGAAGTGATGCAGGTCTCAGACGTTTACCGCTTCGGTGAAACCCACGAGCACGGGTATGGTGCTGACAAACCTAGAAACATAATCGGGGCGAACCGGTTTTCGAACCCACAATCATAGGTTTCTGGCGTGCCCAACGGACGCAACTCTGCACAGCGAATCGCGGCAACTTAGACAACTTGGCCACCCGTGCCCCCTATTTTACGTGTGAAGGACATTTCAAAATTTGAAGCATCAGTGACAAAAATGATATCTGATGCAATTCCCTGTTTTGATTTGTACCATATGTTCCCGGGTTTTTTTTCCAAATGAACATTGACTTGCGTTTGCATGTGTTTGTGATGAGTGCAACAGGTGGGGCAGGATCCTTGTAGCGAACACCTGGCATCAATACTATTTGATAGTCATTCATAAACACATGCTGGTGATAAAATCGGACTCGTAAAATCGACTCTGCGTTTCGCAAAGACTTTTGATTAACATGGAAAGGGTTTTGTCGCTTTTGTGAACCGTTTCGAGATCGCATGAGTACAACGTTCTGACGTGACCTGTACTGGGCTCAGATCTTATCGGTAGCGAGCACTAAGATTTGATTTTGATAAGATTGTCTCAGTTGATCTATGAACTTCAAAAATAATATCTTGTGATTTTCAGTAACGGCAAAAAAACTGCCAAATAAACCAACACGTTTGTCTTACAATTCCTGCACTTTACAATTCGTTGGTAGGGAAAAGGACATTCACAAATTGCATGATATTTTGCAGGAAATATCTGTTCATTTTTTATGTCAAGGGCTCAAGGAAATCATTTACATTTGGTCATTTCAGAACGTGTTTTTTACACATAATTTTCAATTTGGGGAAGGAAAATAATTTCAATTGTTAAAGCTTTGTACTCCAATTCCATGTGTGAATATTGTTTCCTTAAACTTCAGATAAACATTCTTCGTATCTATCGTGTTATCCTTTTAAGCACAGGGCTTACATTTTCAAAAATATTACACCAGTAGGATCTGTAATTAAGCCCAGGGTCGATGTATTGGTTCATAACACGATGTTTCTAGCAATTCTCGGTAACTTTTTGTGGTGTCAAAGAATCCATGATTTCACCAGCATTGATATCGTAAATCGTTAACCCCTTCGGTGGAACAAACGAGCTTGTGTATATAACTGGCAAATCAAGAGTCATAATCTGAAATTCTAACCTATGGAGACACAACATGACACAATAAATTAGGACACCAGATCTTTGCTACCCCAAAATATGTCACCTGTATGTTTGCCATTACGGCAAAAAAAATTATATAATACATTTGCTTTTAGTGAGCGAGTGAGTGAGTTATCATTTTACATCGCATCGGCAATATTGCAGCCATATTGCGATGAAAACAAGTTAATTATTATTAAATACCTGTCGACAAAGGACAGTAAAACAGTAAGTCATGTATCACAGCAATAAAATCAAAGAATTCATTCAATAGATTAGGTAGCAGAAGATAAGACTAGGCAATATACCACTGGCAACCAAAGCTAGACCACCTAACTGGGGATCACGGGGTTGCATTTAAGAAAAATCAATACACATTTCATCGGATTTCTTAATATAATTTTGTAAAATGAAATTTTAATCGGTGAATATAATCATTTTAGCAATGAGAACAATGACCCTTTGGATCTACCTACACAAAATAATAAGTACCGAGCATCAATTAGAGTCCTCAGTGCATTTTACACATATATTTATAGTTATCCTAAACTGCCGGGCCAGAGAAAGGACACACCCATGTTTGATGGTGGCTAAAAACGAAACAAACAACAAATGGTTTCTAAATGTAGACTTAATGGTTACCACAGATGTATTGGACAAGTTGCAGTCTTGTATCGTTTTGATTCACTTTGTAATTGCAATGTTCACATGTATACTTTCTTTAGCCCCGCTGGTTACTTGGCTTCATATTAATATGCACATTCATCTTCAGATTTATTAAATGTACTATATATATACAACAGTTTGAGGTTTTGTCCACAGGGCCAACCTTCAAATCAAAATCAATGGTGATTATGAATTAATGAATTCACACAATTATATTTGCATTAAACATTTACTTAACATATGCATTATTCCTTATTGAGAATTTGTTTGAGAGAAACCAGATTGCGTCAGGGATATAAGAAGTTTTTGTGCTTTAGTTATGCTTTTGTTGAAAAAGCATTCGAACGGTTTGACAACTGGGTCATCAAAAGCACAACAAGAGCGCAAAAACTGATACACTCCCGACGCAATCTGGCAATCTGTTTTTTTAAAACAACCTTTTGTATGCTTGTTTTTAATTCTTGCTGTTGATGTGTCATAAAGTTTCGTTTGGTGTTAAGCTTGAGTTTGACAGGGAGGTATCGATCATCTTGCTTTAATGTATCGGCGTTATAAATAAAATTTCTGTTGTTTGAGTCAGGTGAGTTTGCTAAAACGCCCCTTTGCACAGTATTTCAGTCATATCGACGCCTGTCAACATGTTGTTGTAAGGAAATCCCGTCTTTTCACCTGCGTAGAAACAATAGCCGTTTGTTTTGTTTCAGACAAAAGCTTAGATTTGTGTATAATAACGGTGTGAAATCTAAATTCTTACATTAAGTTGGTGGACGTAATAGATGCTGTTGGTTCGGAATGGCCGGGCTGTTTAAAAATGGCCTAACATGGGACAAAGTAGGGGTCACTGGCAGGAAGAATGCTTGTTGGCTATATATACTCTTCAAAAAAAGAAACGCAATGCGGATATTTTGGGCCATAAAAGCAACATTAGCGGACCAAGAGGTGCAGCATAACGAGGTTGAATGAGTTATAGTGTCAGTGACAAATTTCCCGGATCAAAATGATCACATATGGTTGGTTGGTTGTTTTACGCCGCACTCAGCAATATTCCAGCTATATGACGGCAGTTTGTACATAATCGAGTCTGGACCAGACAATCCAGTGATTAATATCATGAGCATCGATCCACGCAATTGGGATCGATGACATGCATCAACCAAGTCAGCAAGCCTGACCACCTGATCCCGTTAGTCGCCTTTTACGACAAGCATAGTCGCCTTTTGCGGCAAGCATGGGTAATGATCACAAGAACATACAAACCATTAGTCAGGAAACACGTACCCAGTGCATTAGGAACAATGACCATGGAGCTGCACGTTAAAACGGTATTAAAGAGCAGGGGTTTGGATTGCCTGGCATCTGCGTCAATCGAGAACTGACACTTCAACAACATGCCAAGAATAACAGAAGTGCAAAGAAACTACGCCATAGGTCGCTTGCGGACAGGGCAATCCCGATCAGCTGTAGCCAGGATTTTTTTTCCAATGTAGCGCCAAGCAAGGCTATGGGATCGGTTTCAACAGCATGGGTCAACACGTGATCGGCCAAGGTCGGGACGACCAAGAGTAACCACCTCCGCAAAAGATCGCTTCATCTGACTGCGCCACCTACGTGAAAGGAGTACCACAGCCACATCAACCTCATCCCAAATACCCGGACTGTGCAGAATCTCCGTACAGACCGCACAAAACTGTTCACGAGCAGCAGGTCTACGAGCAAGACGTCCTGTTCGACACATATTGGGTCGACAACATCGTCAACGACTGCACTTGTGTCGTCAACCTCAACTGGCCTCAACTGCGATGGAGAGATGTCTGGTTCAGCGACGAATCAGGATTTCTCCTCCGTCGAGGGGATGGAAGAGCATGGGTCTACGGATGTCGGAGAGAACGTTACGCCAGAAACTGCGTACAGGAAGTGGACAGGTTTGGTAGCGTTATCATCCGGGCGACTATCTCTCATCATGGCAGGACATGTTTGGTCCATATCATCCTTCGGCTCAAAAATACAACAATTCAATTCTGCTACCAGACGTCCTCCCAATTGCAGCCAACGGCAACTGTGTATTCCAACAGGACAAAGCTCGACCATGGATCACAAGAGCCTGTCTACACAACAACGTTGATGTTCTCCCCTGGCCCTCCAGATCCCCGGATTTGAACCCGTTAGAGCACCTGTGGATTGAATCGGATAGACGGCTACGCCGAAGTCAACCACAATCCCAGACGTTGCAGCAGTTGGCTTTTGGTTAAGCGACGAATCAAGTTTTTCCCAGGAAGTGATTCGCATACTCGTCTCTTCCATGTGCAGGAGATGTCTGACCGCTGAGATGACTACAATCACAAAGTGTTTTTCCACAACATTTTGGCTCAATACCTTCCTCGTTTCAATGTATTTTCCTAACTCACACATATCTGGCTTTGGAGAGTATAGTTTGTTCGCTTAAAAGCCATTCACATTTTCAGGCTAAATCGACTAGGATCACAGGGGATATAAACCCGTGAAGATCCGGGGTAGAATAGGTCTTCAGCAACCCTTGCTTGCTGTAAAAAGCGACTAGGCTTGTAGCAAGAGGCGACTAACGGGATCGGATGGTCAGGCTCGCTGACTTGGTTGATGCATGTCATCAATCCCAATTGCGTGGATCGATGCTCATGATATTAACCACTGGATTGTCTGGTCCAGACTCGATTATTTACAGACCGCCGTCATATAGCTTGAATATTGCTGAGTGCGGCGTTAAACAACAAACCACCCAACCAACAACAGGGGATATATACTATTGTGGGGATTGTTATACCTATTAAACAAACTGATCGGGTCCCAAATGCTTTTGTACGTTACTCTTTGGTTTTCTCTTTTCTTTAAAACATGGAGTTCCGGTTTTCAGCAACCCGAGTTGGTTTGTCGTAAGAGGCAAGTACCGGGATCAGGTGGTCAGGCTGGCGGACTTGTTTCATGCATGTCATCGTATCCCAATTGCGTGGATCGATGCTCATGATGTCAATCACTGGATTGCCGGTCCAGACTCGATCATTTACATACCGCCGTCATATAGCTGGAATATTGCTGAGTGCGGCGTTAAATAACCATGCTCTTCTTTTTAAGCAACGACAATACAACCAA